AAATAATCATCATCTCTATCTATTTAGTTTATTTTTAATATACATGAAAAACAATATCCACAAAGTAGACAATTAAAAAAGATGCTATTTCTCTATAGTAACCTTGTCATTACTCGATTCATATAGTTCCATGTTCACTAACATTACCACCAGAAAGCCTTCTCATTATCTGCCACAATTGTTTGCTTCTTCCATTTCCCATAGGACCTGAATATGATTTTCTTCTATATGTTTCATACTCCATTCTACCAACTCCACCACAAGAACTGAATAATTCTGATGCTGACAAACCATTTTCAATATCACCAACAGATAAATCCTCATGCTCTTGGCTAGAACCATCATCATCTTCTTTTGCTTCTTCACATTCACTGCATACAAGTTTTAAAGCCTGAACAACTTCACTCATGAATGGACGGTTCGATACTACTGCCTGCACGCATATTGAAGCAATGGCTGCTACTTTGGCCACGCTATCAAAAGTCGCGTCGAGTCCTATAGATGGATCTATTATTGCTTCTAATCCTTCTTTACTTGTGAGAAATTGACGAGACCAAGCAACGAGATTCTCTTGGCCGGGAGTTTGTGACATGTCTATAGGTTTTCTTCCGGTAAGAAGCTCTAGAAGAACAACGCCATAGCTGTAAACATCACTCTTGACATGAAGATGACCGTTCATTGCATACTCCGGAGCCACATAACTGAATTCATTTTTTTAATCGTCAAAATCAGGAAATGTGAAATTATGAAATCAACCGGAAAAAAAATGACAAATAGACAATGTTTTCACAAACCAAACATGCTCTAAATCTTCAAAAACGGAAGAGAAAAAAATGTATGTAAACTCTGTACCCGAATGTTCCCACAACACGAGTTGATATGTGTCTATTTTCCTCGTCGACAGCGATCCGGGCCAATCCAAAATCAGATACTTTTGGAGTAAAATCATCTTCCAACAATATGTTGCTAGATTTGAAGTCCCTATGAATAACACATGGACTTGAATCTTCATGCAGATAAGCTAAACCACGAGCTGCACCAAGAGCTATCTTCATCCTAGCACGCCAGTCAAGTGCACATTTTTCTCTGTCAACTCCTATCACAAGACCAAGTAAGAAAAAAAACATTATATTGAACAACTAAGGGCTTGATGCCTGATGGAATTGGTTTATTTGAACTTATATATTTGTATAAGTATTTTTAAGACTGTTTCGGAGGAGCTTGTGGAAACAACTTATGACATGAACATTAATTGTTTTCAGTATATTTTGTAAGTTCTCCATAACAGCTTATGAAAATAGCTCATAGTTTATATGAAAACAATTTGACTTTGTTTTCATCTTTTGTGTATAGAAACAACTTATTCAAAAGCATTTATAATGATGAGCATTTATGCTATAAGCTTTTAATTAGGTTGTTTATCAAAACAATACCTAAAGGACTCAATTAAGCAAACAAGAAGATTCAAGTACCATGTAAATGTGATTCCAAGCTTCCATTTGTAATGAGTTCATAAACCAAGCAGCGGAAGCTGTCTTCTTCAATACATATACCAATCAACTTGACCAGATTTCTATGGTGAAGACGACTAAGCATCTCAACTTCAGATAAGAATTCATGATTACCATGAAGATCCTCCCTCTTTTTTAGAACCTTGACTGCCACTTTTGTCCCATTTCCAAGGACACCACCGTAAACAAGCCCAAAACCACCTTCTCCAAGTATTCTTGAAGAATCAAAAGTATCAGTAGCTCTCTCAATGTCATTCATACTGAAAGTCTTAACAGACACATTATAAGCGGCCATGCCAGATTCAAATGATGAGGAAACAGAACCAACCCTTTCATCTCCAATGAATGATCTAGTAGCAGTAACTGTGAAATTCATAAGATTTGTAAAAAAAAAGGCTATAAAATGATCAAACAATCAACCCGTCACAATTATTATGCGGTAAGAAACATAATTTGCGATTTGTGGATATAATACTGTTTGTAATGATCAAAAATTGAGACAAAGGAATAAACTGATGGTAAAATGCACTAGCTGTTTCACCTGGTTCTATTACCTGGTACTTTGGTAAGAGAAGGATGTGAAAGCCACGGCAGAGTCGATGCCGGACTACTAACAGGAACTTTGAATTTAAACATGAACCATGCAGCAGCAGTGCATAAAACAACTGCTACAAAAACTGAAATAGCAATGATGCCAATAAATCCTCTGCTAAGATCGCCTCTATTCTTTCTCTTAGGTATGTCAACTCCAATGGGCTTTATTGTCATTCCATTATTGCCATCAGTGGTATAAGGACCATCATCTATTATTGTAATGCTTAAAGGTGGTGAAGGAGGAGAAGGAGGTAAACCTGTAACAATAATAGGATACATTAGAGCAACAACCCTCGTTCAAAAGGAAACAAATACGAAAAATGCAAAGAGAGAACACACAAGATTTGATCACAGAATTTGGCCAATTGTTCCTACCTGGATAGCTCAGATATAACACATCATAGTCACCAAAGTAGGAGGCGTTAATAACAATCTTTTTATGCCAAAACCTATAAGAAGTCAAAAAGGCTGTTGCATTATCGAATTTTTCCCCGAGTGGCACCAAATCAATAAGGACAACTGTTTTATCAGGTTGCTGGTTTGCTGCATTGGCTCCCACAATTGTAACTTGATTTTGTTTCATAAAAATCCCACTGGCAAGCTCAGAAGCCAGCTCCGAGACCAAAGGGAAGAAGGTATAAAGAGATACCCTAAGGCGAAGACCCACTCGAATAGGCCAGACACATCTGCAAGGTGCTCCGGGAGGAGAAGTTACATAAGGCTCTGTGCATAAAGTTGATAAACAATCTGAAAAGATTAAAAAAGTAAATTTAATTATGATGAATAAGGCTCAGAACAACTTCAAAAAATACTAAGCAAACAAAGTGCTAACCCTCATTAGGAGGTGGGTGTGGCAGTGTCTTGGAAGAAGGACCGGGTAGAGATGCTTTAGGAGGAACATGATGTCTTTCTCTACCAATTGTTGGTGATAATGAGGGAGGAATTGCTCTATCTAGATCAAAAATTGTAAAATAAAAACTGCTTATATATTCGATTGCAGCAAAGAACATGTATTTGTAACACAATTTAATAAATCAATCAAGTAGAGTGGCAACTAAACCTCGGGGTCTTGAAATGGATGGCGAAACCATATATGATGATGCAGGAGCAGGAATGGTAATTATGTTCCTCGACGTCGATGCTGGAGAGTGAGATGAAGTTAATGGCTGAGGAGCATGATGTAATTGTCTTGCCTTTTGTGCTGCAGGAGCTACAGATGGTGGCATATTCCCTTGCACTGTTGTTGGTGAAGGAAAAGCTTCATATTGTGGTGATAATGCTATAGAACTTGAAGTTGGAGATATAAATGGTTCAGTTTCTTTACTCTTTTGAGGAGTTGGAGCTGATGCAGGAGGTGACAATGGCCCTGCAAAAGTGATTTTCTTTTGCACTAATCAAAACTATTTCATTGACATCAACAAAGAACTTTGAAGATTGAGAAAGCACCTACCTCTAGATCCTTGGGTTGCCACTACAAAGCCTGTGATGATTATGCAGAGCTTCAACAGCGGCAACATCAGTGCCAAAACCACTCCCATCCCATTCCAATCTCCTCAGCAGTGATTCAAATCAAATGATTCTGAAGTTTGTAACCAGAAAAAGCAAAGAACAAAATAACAGGTAACATTGAAGAAGGTACATAGCCACATATATAGCAAGACTGTCACATTGACACCAAAAAAATGATGAGACAATTTATGGAGAACAACCCAGATTTGTTTTTGTTGTAAAGGACAAAACCCAAATGGCCAAAACAATATGTCTCTAGCAAAAATCTGCACTGGCATTGGTAGCGTTTAGAAATTTCCATGTGAAAGCTAAAAGTTGAAATCTTTTTCCATAAGGTTAGTTTAATGAACAAACATATAACACGTGAATTCACAGTCCAAAAGCACTCTAAGGAACCTCAAGAATTAAAAAATTGTGAGTTGAAAATCAGTTTTTTCTTCTTTGATAGAGGCAGTTTAGTGGGGGCAGAGAGGCTACTATGTATTTGAATATTTTACTCTTAGAAAAAATTATAGTATAATTAATTAAAATAACACTATTTGTCAGTTTATAATTGATTTCGAAAGGGTTTAAAATCCAATGTGAGTTGGTGAGAAGAGTCCATCTGTTTTTTTGGCTAATACAAATGAAAAATGTAGCACCCGTGACTAAGCAAACATCCAATAAACTTTTTATATTAATTGATTAAATAATTGCCAAACATTGGTCAAAAGATATTGAGAGGCTATGATTCAATGATAGAAAGTACTCAGATCATGAGAGTAATAATTAATAGGGGAATCTAGGGTATTGTCATTGAGGAGACAGAAAGAGACAAGAGATAAAGGGATTTGACTGCTAATAATAGTTCCCTCAACAGCAGCCAATCTCCGTGATTGTCTACTTGGATTGTAGTGAATGAGCATAGGTCTCAAATGCTAAATAAAGGGAAGGAAAAAAAACATGCTAGTTATGTTTTGATTTTCTAAAACAACTGAAGCTTTAAAGCAAAAAAGAAATGTTTCGAAGACCAATATTATGGACTGAATGAGTATGTTTATAGTCCTTGGACACCAAAAAAACAAATGAAAAGGAACAATCAAATCAAAAATTAATACAAAAATAACTAGCTTCTACAGAGTTGAATTTCCATAAAAAGGTTGAAGCCGGGCTTCGAGATGATGCATATGTGTCACTCTAGGCAAATGCAAGCATATCTTTGATCTGGACATTGAATAAAAGGATATTGATTCCTTGTTTATTCATTCTCAACCTCCCTGTCTCTCTAAACAAACCCAACTGTTTCAAAACATGAATGTGACGGCTGCTGCTGGTTGACCATCAGCGTATAAAGCCTAGATGATATGATAGCCACTTAAGCTTGGTCATTCAGAGTCTGGAAAATATTTAGTGCCTAGATGATATGATAGCCACTTCAGCTTGGTCATTCACAGTCTGGAAAATATTTAGAATGCCAATACCATTGGTCGAAGTGTCTACACATGTGCTTATATAGTCACACAAAAGTTGCCATCCAGACTTAGAGATACAAGTTCCAAGAAGTCTGTTTGAACGGATAGTGAAGCTCACCACAGGAATCGCTGCAAAAAGTGAAAGATTGAAATCCTGTAGGACTATCAAGTTGCATCCAAGCACCAACTCATGGGGTTAAATCGTGAAAAATCGTTTGGTCCCAATAACCAAGCAACAGAAAAATGCCGAGCGTAAATTTTAATCAAATATACACCTCTCTTGGAAATCTTGCTTGCATGAGTCAACATAATCATCATGGGATCACTGTAAATTGAGAATTTACTGTATGAACAATCAATGGTTTGGATCATATTCTTGAAATCGGTCCTTAAAATCTTCAACGATTTTCATCTCTTCATCTTTGTTATGTTTGCGATTCCTCCAATCTGCATTATCTGCCATATTAAGCAACCCCGCCAGAACCTGGTTCATTTTCCAAGTTTTAACTCTTTCTGATAAATACAATAGTTATAATCTTATAATGAACGAATTAAATATTGATGACCTCTTCCAGAAAAAATAATGGATGAGATATATTAATCTGTTTCTGTGTTAACTATGTATTTTGCTATTAGAAGGCTACCTCACGTCCAAATTGGGCGGGAAACGTGTCTTTCTCCTCTACATGGTGCAGCAGAATTGTGCCTCCTGGGATTTCAGCATAGAACAAGCTTGAATTCCCATCAGTCTGTGTCTTCAAAAACTTTCTTCCATCAGAAATGCTATCGACTGAGTTGCCAAGAAAAACAGCATATGAATGCAACAGAAACCAAAAAACAATATTGTTGGTACTTGCCAGATTAAATAAACTGAGGATATACAGGTTATGGAGAACTTAAAGGATCTAGGTCTGACAAAGACCATATAAGCAATGAAATAACCTAAAGCACCAACAACAAAGGCGTATCCGGTGCTGACACACCACCGACACATGTGATTACATTTAGTTTATTAATTTTTTCAAATTATTACTGGCGTCGAAGTATCAATGTTGTGTATGGTGTTTGTGTTTCATAGAAGTGAAATATAAAGCACGGCCTGAAGATTAATGCTTACATTTCTTTACCACAAATTCAAATCCCAACTTTTGTGCAGCTAAATTGAATGCTTTTTCAATCATAACTGCTTTGGAAGATGGAATGGGAATGACCTGCATAAAAAAGGGGGTAGATTGCCAATGAGAGAATATAAAACTACTGTTGATCAAGCAAGAGATAAATGAAACTCAATTGAGAAACCACTATCGTTAGAACAGAAAACAGCTAACCCAAAAAGTGACGAAGAGATTGGATATCTAATGTGAATTAAGCAAATTATATAAGAAGAAGTGGACAGCCATGAAAGGTACAGAGGAGGGGGAGGAAAGCCAGCTCAATTAAATAAACATAGTGCAAAGAGCATTTCCTAGTCCGGATTTCAACTACTTCGCAACTAGCAACAGAAACTTCGTTTACCTGAAGATTGGCATGAGTGCCACGTATGGAAGCCCACTCAAAAAACAAGACTTCCTTTTCTTGGTTCTTGAAACATCTCTTGAGACTGTTCTGAAATCGTAAGAGCTCCGCTTCAGATTCAGAAGACAGAGACAAAGTATTTGGCATATGCTCAACGGGTACTATCAGCACATGGTCTTCCACAAGTGGACCTTTAGCAAGAGCTAGATAGTAATTTTCCCCGATGCTTATGATTAAATGTGACTCCACATTGGGGCTTGACAAGCAAAACCAGCATTCTCTTGATCTGCAGTTGTATTGTAGAATTTGTCAAGGGAAAATGCTTTAAAGTTGGACTAAACAAGGATAAATCAAATAAACAAAGATGGAGAATAATAAAACCAAAATCTTATTAATTACCACTTGAGAATTAACTTCACTCACAAATTCACAAGTCAAGAATCACTAAATAAGAGACAATACATTCACTATAGAATATAATCAATCACGAGACACACCTGTTAGACCTTGTATTTTCTGATCCAGGCTTCCTGGAAGGATGCTTATCACCTTCATCCTGCAAGCTGTGCCTAAAGCGGCAATCTGGTCCCCTTTCACATTTTCCCTTGTTCAAAAAATCAAAACAAACACCTCTCAAACAGTGCTCCCTTGCATCTGTGTCATGTCGGAAATTGCATGTGTCTCCCCGTAGACAGGAGCCAGAAGATACAAATTTGAAACACAACTTATCTCCAGCTTCATGTTTCTGTCGTTTTTGCGAAACATCATATCTCCAATGTTGAGAATCAGAGTCAGCGGATCTCTTTGTGGTGTCATTAGGAGAAACGTTTTCCTTCGTAGACATGTATGGTGATAAGGTGGTATTTGTGGTTTTCATGGCAATCTCAGTTGAAGACATGGTGGATGCAGGTGTTGGAGAAATTGCATGAATAAATTTCTGAAATGCAAAACTGACCGAAATATTACGGTAATGAAAGTATTTGCTTCCAGTGAGAGATACGTAAAGGAAGGTTTATTTTCTTTGTAAGGAAAAATGTATAATTTAAACTGACAGTTCCATAATTAAGTATTTGTAAGATTAGGTCCTGTCCTCTACCGCTTCTCCAGAAAATCAAAAGATATGTATATAATAAACAGAAACTAGTGGCACAGACAAACAGATGGAGAAGATATTTCGAATAACAACTTATAGGCATTCCTCTAAAGAACAAATCTATAAAAACTCATAAGTAATCTATAAAAACTCATAAGTATGAATTTTGATCAAATAAAATATAATAAAATAATCAATATCAGACAGTGGTATGCTAAAGAAGAATAGCCAAACCTGCTTATCTTTATTTCCAACAGATGCAAGCCCAATGAAACGGGTAGTGTGCACGGCATCAACATTGGAATATGGTTCGCGGGCATAGTATATACCTTTAGAACCTGCAATATGATAGCTACAAAAAAAAACAGAAAGAACTGTTATGATCAAAGACTCGGCTTTCGCGAAGACTACAAGAGATTCCACAAAAGGCACGATTGACATAGCAAATTCCTCCAGAAAAATAAAACACTAACCCTGATCTAGTGAATGAGTTAATCTCCTATAAGCAAATCTTCCTAACAGTGAGTCCAATCAAATCCCATTTTCTTTTTACCAGTTGTGAGATTGCCATTCCCGGTTATAAGGGTTGCAAATATAATACCTATAAGTTTATAACAAGTACTACATGTGACCCTAAACATAAGTCTCTTTTAACCAATTTGCTAGAATTAAGAAAATTAAGTAATTTGTTACTTACATTAAATTTATTAACAATGTGTATTGATTATTCAAAATTGCCCTTCAATTATCGGGATTCGATTTTTCACTGAACTAATGATTTTCCAAAGTTTTTAAATAATTAAGGGTACTCTTGTTTAAAAAGATTGAGCGCGTCTAGCCATTTAGAGGCTTATAGAAAGGGATATTTATTTTTTCAAGGAGCTTATATTTGATAAAGGTAGTATATGGAAAAACACAAAATACATTCAATAGAACAAAGAACTTGAGGGCTTATCTTTTCGGAGCTAAAAGTGCAGAACACAAATACTACGAAATCAGGATTTCACATACAATATGTTTGTTGAACAGAAAGTTCGTAATTTGTTTATCACTATTGTGCACATGTGAAACATTCAGCAAGAAAATGTAGTTGATCCTTTTTTTTTGGGTTTGAGAGGAGGGAGATAGATAATCAAGACAGGGGACGGACTGTGAGCTATCTATTCAATAATTACCGTGGTTTAATCTCTTGTACTAACTCTGATATGATTGAATCGCTGCCGCTAGATTCCGAGAATCCAGAAGGAATGTCTGAAGCAGCTGCTCCATTTGTAATCCCACTTGGCCATTCATTAGTAATAATGAATCAAGGAAATCAACAGACATATTGTGTCTCAGAAAACAAGCAAGTGGAATTAAGCCCAAATACAGTATGACTAAGAATAACAAGAATTAATTAACATCGATACAAGGATATGTCAAGAACAAATCAACAACTCCAGGTTCCTCGGCTATCGCACGCAAAGCATCAACATCATCTTCACTAAAAGTTCCAAACTGCTGAACATTCGACGATTTCCTACCAGATAAATAGGTGACAGATAACCCTGCATATAAATACAACAAAGAACTAAACTCAACTCCCAACAAGTATTCCATGGCTGAAAGACAAATCAGGAAAGAAAGCCAAACATTACCAATTATCAATAATTTATAATAGTTATCAGTATCACCAAAACCAATCCCCTAATCATGTAATAGCTATGTAACTACTACCTAAATAAACTAATGTCTACTACGTATCACATAAGCATAATCAACAACTAAAAGCAAAACACATTTCCCAACTCACACTTACATACCCTCATTGTGCTTGGATAAATAGCTTAATTAAGCATCTATATCATAAACATTTATCATATAGGCGCTTATGTATAAACTCTTTCAATAAGAAAAGATAAAACTATGTCAAACTCTTTCATCCAAGTTATTTTCATAAGTTCTTAAGGAGAGCTTATGATAATAAAAAAGCTTTTTATAAGTTTTTCTATAAGATCTCTCAAACTGTTTCCCAAGTGATTTCCTAGTTAATGTTTGGCTTAACTTTTGGAAGAGCCAAAAACAATTCTAGAGGTGTAGAATTGGTTCTTGAATAATTTTGAAGTGTTTAGTTCTTCTAAAGTATAATTGATTTTGTCTCCAAAATTGATTCTACTTGAAATTATAATTTGTAGTTTTTGAGTTTAAACATGATTTTTACACTAAAATATGTTGTTCAATTCACTTTGACAAAAATGTATCCAAACATAAATCACTTTCCATCCAACTCACTTTTAACCAAAATCAGTTCTACAAAATCAATTCACTCAGAATTAATTCTACAAAATCAATTCACTCATAATCAATTCTCCTCACCCCAGAACCATACATACATTTAACTAAATAGACATATGCACTCCATGAAGGCACAAAAAATGAACAAAATTTGATCTATAACTTTGGCAAGTACTAATCAGCAGTTATGGATTAAAAACCAGAAAGAATAAAAACTACAGGAAGTAAAAAAAAATAAATAAAAAAACATACCGAAGAGGTTGAACTTGCCACTGCCTTTCAACCAATACAAATTATCGCAAACCTTGAAACCATCCATCTTGAAACCACGGTTGGCGGAATCCTTAGAAGCCGCCATCAAAACCTTAGGGGCGGCGACTCCATAGTCGCCGATGAAGTATGTTGGGAGGGGAATGTGAGAGCCGCCTTCAATGTA